TTGGTGGTGAGGGTACCGGTCTTGTCAGAGCAGATGGCCGTCGCGTTGCCCATCGTCTCGCACGCGTCCAAATGCCGCACCAGATTGTTATCCAGCATCATTTTCTATAGCATCGTGGTAAATTGTTTGTTGGTTTTGTTTATTATTTATCATATTTTTTTCGTGTACGTGTTTTTGTTTTGTATTTTAATTATTATTGTATGATTTTTCGTGTATAGTCTGTAGTCCGGAATTGTGTGTTTGTGTATCGCTTTATAGTCGCTATATGTTGTATATAAGATATAAGCCATTCATAGACACGGAATAATCGTTTTGTTTGTTATATAAGTTACAAATATATATAGTGTTTATATATTAAGATAATTATTGCTTTATATTCTGTGTCAGTATATCCTGTCATAAAATGTATTAAACAATATAACGTAGAGAATATTCAGTGCTTCGCGTTTACGATACTCTGTACGTATAAAAATATAAAGAATATTCTGTAATATATTCTTTAAAACTATATATAAATTCTGTCATATATTGCATGAAAGAATATTCTGTTTTTAATTACACACTCGATATTATGTTAGCAATGAATGCATAAATGAATTTTATGCTATTATTGTACACTATATTTATACAAGTGTTTACTGTTATATCCAAATGTCTAATAATCTAATCAATTCTTCAAATAATTTTTCAGACACTAAATACACTATAATTTACACTTTAATTCACGACCTATTGATTAAATATAAGTTTGTTTTGTTTTGCTTTTTCTTATCATAAGTGCCGGTAATTCAATATTTTCTGCAGCAAAACAGGCAGAGAGAGAGAGAGAGAGAGAGAGAGAGAGAGAGAGAGAGCACTGATAAATCAATCAATAGCTAAACGACAACATTATAAATGATATTAATTTCTGTGAAAATTATTAATACAGAGATATAACTGGAAAATAATAACAAATAAAACCTAAACTAAACCCCAAAACCAAATAACTGTGTAATAAATATAAATGAAATGCAAATATCATTCATGGGATAAAAATTCAAAATTAAATAATTCATTGCAGAGATTGGGAGCAAAAATTTTTTTGTTCACTCTATTGTGGGCATAAAAAACTCATTTAAAAGTCTATTGAAAAACTCTTGATATATAGATTTATATCTCCATTTGAATGGTATTGAGAGAGAGTGAGAGAGAGAGAGAGAGAGAGAATTTATCAATATAAAAAAGCCTATACCAGAGTGAAGAGCACCGGTAACCTAATTGCAAATGCAGAGATCATTCATGCACTTCAATGTACGGCCAAAACATATAAATATCACCGAAAAATTTTTAGCTCCATTTCTATACCATATAATATGCAATAATCCGATCGATAAAAAACCATTTCATTTCAATACACATATTAAACACTCAATTGAATATCGCATAGAAATGTAGAGTAGCTCTCAATCCAGAGCTATAAATACCATCAAGAATTGCATTTATGTGTCTGTATGGGTACGGGTGTACCCAATGGTTGGTGTGGGGTTGGGGTGCGGGTGAGTGTTGGGTCACAAACCTTGACACTGTAGGCGAGGGCGAGCGTCACAGCGAGTGGAAGACCTTCCGGGACAGCGACCACGAGTACAGTGACACCAATGATGACAAATTTGACGAAATACTGCATGTAATACATGGAAAATTTTTTGCCCCTCACCACAAACATCTTGATCACGAAACGCAATATTAATATCACTACTGTTAACACCGCGATCGCAGAGCCTATACAACACAAAAACAAAGATTAACACCAAATGGTATATTGCATGTCAAAAGTGTGGGTTCGGGTGCAGGTATGTGTTCGTGGCCACTGACCTCCGTAACCGATCTGAATGGCCAGTTTGGTGAGCTTCGCCTGGAGTACGGACTTCTCTTTGCGTGGATTCGTTGTCTCTTCATCCGCTTGTGTCGACTTTCTCTGTTGATCACTAGCGAGTGGTTCGGCTCCGCCACCGACCGGTGCGGCGCCCGCCGGATAGGTATTGGCAGTGGTTGTGTTCATCATATGTGAGTTCTCCGGCGCTATCCCTTCGCCCGCCTCATCATCTATAGGGTTAGTGTCCGACACACGAGTGGTGGGTGTATTTCACCGACGGGTTATTGCATTTATGTGTTGTGTGTTTATATGGGGGTAATTTTTGATTGATCGGGGTAATTTTATTTTGTGTGTGTGTTGTTAGGGAGAGGTGGGGTTTGAGAGAGAGAAAGAGATGGAGAGAAAAAACACGTTTATGTATTGTTTTATAAGTAATTGATTTTTGTTTTCATATAAATATAATTATAAATGTAAAGTGAATGCCAAACAGATTTGTTAGTAAGAAATAGTATGAGAAAATTGTTAAACAAAATAAGTTTTGAAATTTTGAAATCACAAGCATTTGCTTTAGAGAAAGAGCGAAAACATTGCAAATCATAGCATCGATTCATTCAAACAAAATACACGATTAAAAGTTTGTTAAGAAAATACATTCACTCGATAGACACAGATATCAAACGTGTGAACACAGAGAGGGAGACAATGGTTGGACGAGAGAGCAAAGGAGAGAATGGGAGGGCGCGAGAGAGTAAAGGCGAGAGAATGGGAGAGAGATAGGGAGAGTCACAGAACAGATCATTCAAGATATGAGATACACAACAGACAATAAATGATACAATTGTTTTTGAGCACAGAGTTTAAGCGCGAGTCTAACGGCGAGGGCATAGTTGGTGGTCAAGTAGAGGGTCAGGGGGTAAGGGATCTGAAGCGTTGACAGACGGGGGGAGACATACAGACAAGTGTACGCATAGACAGGCGAGTAAATTGGAAATGTTGACATTTTTGTATTTTGTATAATTGTAACTATAAATTACCATATTTCATAACAGCAGAATTAGGGTTATAATTAGGTTGATTCAAAGGTATCATTTCCGGTATTGCCGGCTGAGTATACGTAGTATTAGGACATGCATGAGATGCGGCTATCAATGGGGTATCCAAAATATATGTAAAAATACAAAAAATAGATATCATGGTCAAAACATATTTCATTGTAAATGGTAAACAAATTAATTTTTTTTCATCAATCATTTTCGTTTAAATCAATGTATAAATTATTGGTTTTGTATATAAACTAAACACGAATGCAATTTTAATTTAACGTTTTTAAAAGTAATGCTAATTACGATCACAACAACACAGACGTCAAGCAAATAGAAATTTTTAAATTAAATTATTGTAAAAATTTTATTTCAATTGATTATTCTGAAGAATAATATAAATAAAATAACATTAAATTAAAGCTTATAATAGTCTAAAAATAAAAATATAATTATTATTCAATCGATTAGAGAGAGAGAGAGAGAGAGAGAGAGAGAGAGAGAACTGAAAAACTCATTAATCAATATTCAGGGGAGAATTTAGCTGAAAAATTCTGTATTAAATAACAATAAATAAAACTATATATAACGTTAAGGTAAAAATACACTACACTATACGCTATCAATTCACAAATTTCATAATACAGTACACTATAGGCCGGATAAATAGCCAGAATATTCTTTGCCACTATTAATATTATTCTACAAACCATTAGTGCACTTATACTATACATACGTTATATACCGATAATAATAATAAAAACATTTTATAACGAAAAAAATCTCAAAGAATTAGTCAAAGAATTTAATACTAGAATTTCGTGAGAATATTCTATAACTTGTTTCCCCGATCTATAAATACATTAAGGAATATATAGAATATTCTGGCAGTTATTACTGTATATATAACTGAGATATTATGGCTTTTTTGGCTGTAATTAAAGGCGAATTCAAACGCAAATAATAAGAAGAAAATGACAGGAAAAACAAGAATTAGAAAAAAATTAAAACCCAATAAACTATTCACTGAAAGAAAATATATATTAATATTACGGATAAATAAACAGCAGAAAAATGAGGAAAAGAAAACGAGAGAAAAAATCTAAAATGCATTACAAATACTGTATATAATTACGGAAATTAATGTAATAAACCATTCGTTAAATTTATATTAAAAACAACACAATAATAAAATTCTATATTTTATAATAATAAATAAATTTAAATACATGTAAAATAACTCAAAAAATAATGCATCAGAGAGAGAGAGAGAGAGTACAGGCGAGAGAATGGGAGAGAGATAGGGAGAGTCACAGAACAGATCATTCAAGATATGAGATACACAACAGACAATAAATGATACAATTGTTTTTGAGCACAGAGTTTAAGCGCGAGTCTAACGGCGAGGGCATAGTTGGTGGTCAAGTAGAGGGTCAGGGGGTAAGGCATCTGAAGCGTTGACAGACGGGGGGAGACATAGAGACAAGTGTACGCATAGACAGGCGAGTAAATTGGAAATGTTGACATTTTTGTATTTTGTATAATTGTAACTATAAATTACCATATTTCATAACAGCAGAATTAGGGTTATAATTAGGTTGATTCAAAGGTATCATTTCCGGTATTGCCGGCTGAGTATACGTAGTATTAGGACATGCATGAGATGCGGCTATCAATGGGGTATCCAAAATATATGTAAAAATACAAAAAATAGATATCATGGTCAAAACATATTTCATTGTAAATGGTAAACAAATTAAATTTTTTT